TATATATTAACTTAATTTATTGTAACTTTATTATAATTATATATATAATTTCTGCCGCTTGGCGCCACGCTACGGAGATTTTAGGCTAGTAAGTTGAGTTTATTATCGTCTGTACAGTATGTAAATTAGGTATCGTAAGTCTAATACAGCACTAATTTTATACATTTCTTGTGAAAGAAACATGTTATTCAATGGCCATAAAAATTATTTATATTAATGATGTCTCCAAAGGTCAAGTTATTTTTCTGCGAAAAATTCGTTATCAGAAATCGCGGCCGCCGTTTCATGCGCTGTTCCGCGATGAAAACAAGCTTGAGCAACGGCGTAGTCGAACGGTGCACACTCGGTATTACAGATTATTCCCAAAAAATTATACGTGTTTTGGAAATGTTGAATCGAATTAGTCTAGAATCTGTTAATTTTATAGAAGAAAACCTTTCAAACAGCCTTAGTCCATAAACTTCACACGCGTCGGGCTGCGATTGGCTCATGTATTTAATGATTCCTACAACGTAAAATTTGATTAACATGGAACGTATCTAAACGTTATAGGGGGGTCTACTGTACATTACAAGTGTATTAATTATATGTGAATTAGAAAGAAAAAATAATTAGAAATTTACCAAAATAAGACAAAAGTAAAAAAAACTACCTTGACTCGATGCTAATGCATATAAAATAGGATTCAGCAACATCGGAATGAGAATGGCAATAAATGTTAAAATGTAATGAGCCAAAACTAGCGGCATCTTCGAATGGCACCTAAATGGAATGTAATATATTTAATTAATATCATAATAAAAAGCTTTCACAAGGTCAATTTCATTATAAATTTTCATTCAAAAATCATTTACTCACTTAAAATCTGGCACATATAAAATGAGAAATTCACATGCTACGTAAAATAGAGAGATTCCCCAAGAAATGAGATGATAGTATTTAAATTTCCTGAAAAAAAATTTAGGTTTTGTTAATTAAGAATAACAGTAAACTTATTTTAAAAACTATTTACATAATTAGAAATAAATATAGTGTAACCCTAATTACCCGAGTCCTACTTAACACATTAACTGCCATCTGTCGCGCCGGCGGTTGTACGTCGTGCGGTCGTACAGCATCGTCCGACCACCCGCCGTCAATTAAATAATGTAGTTTCACTCAAGGTTAAATTATCCTGGCTTCGTAAGACGTTTTTCTGCATGCTAGTGGTGGCCTCTCATGGACGTCTCCGTACTTGGCTTGGAACGCCGGCGGTTGGATGGCCAGAGCGTCGTTTAGCTACGACCGCCGCCGCGTCGTATGGCCTCATGAAGTGTTTCAAGGTCAGCGGTCGTAGTTATTTTTTTTTTAATAATAATCTATTTTATATCTTATAGTGGTTTATTTTAATAGTAAATAGTTTAAAATATCGAAAACTAGTTTAATTATCGCATATAAAGTAAATAATATTACAAAAAAAAAAAATCAAAGTATATAAGTGCGTTTTAACAGAGGTTCCGCAATATCTGAAGTGAGCGTATAAGAAAATATGCAACTCTTTTAATAATTTGTAAGCATTTTCCGCAAACATACTTAACACGTAACTACTGTAGTAAGTTTAACTACATCTGTACCAAGCAAGTGACTGATGCCAAAGTGACTGTGGAACATTGTGACAATGCAGGGAGGAAATAGTATGAAACAAGACACTATAAAGGACTATTTAAAGAAAGTTTAAAACAATAACATGTCCAGAAAGGCAAGCGTCTCCAAGAAATGGAGAATGTTACGCTTTATGAGTTTTGTTGAAATCTAGTATACAATTTTCAAAATCAGGTGGCATATCACAACACTAGCAACAAAACACTGGCATTTCAATCAACATAATAAATGAATTACTAAGAGCTTCTCGAACCCTTCACAAACATCTAAGCAGAAATGATGTGGAAGTGGTGAATATAAGACTGCCAACAATATACAACATGATTAAAAAGTCCCCTAGATGTGGGTTATCTCTTCCCTATGATCATGAGCCTGCCACCAAAACTTCCAGGTTAAGCTTCTCCCCAAGTCTCAGATATTTATATTGTACACACTCCTGCAGACCAGAACAACATCTCTTGTCATGTTTTAACAGCTTTAAATGTCTGTATGTACAACTGAATTGTCTATACATTTTTATTTACTATATTTTATTCTTATATTTCTGGTTATCTGAGGATGCATCGGTCCACATTACCTCAGATAATCAGAGTACTACTGTAATTTATTTGAATAATTAATTAGACTTATAGTGTTTCATGAAAAATAATCTATCTGTTAACAAAATTTTTGGTTTATTTCTTTATAAAAACACGAGACATGGGAGATCTGCTTCCAGGGAGAACTTTTAAGGGAAAATGACCCTTATTTAGCTGTTACAAAGCGAAGAAAACCCAGAAAACTCCACAAGTCCGGTCCATTGGTGAGGCTCAAACCCAAACCCATGAACCAGTGTTCAGTATGTTATCCACTTGGCCACTGGTAGGCCTGTTAGCAGATAACTTTACAAAAATATAACTAGTGTTTTTGATCAAGGAGCTAAACAATTTCAATGAATTGTTTCTATTAAAAAAATAAATCTAAAAGATAAAAATGATGTAAAAATATAATAATATTTGCCATCTTGACAAATGCTAAATCCACTTTCACGTAAATAGAATCCACTCACAATTTCAAATGAGCATGTGAAATAACCCTGAATATCCAATACCATTTGAAGTGGCCGTAATGCTCTAAATTACACGTGATCCCAAACCCTACAGTAAAAGATTCTGCAACTAGTATTGTCCCAGCTAACCAGTCATTTAATTGGAAGTGGCAAAACAATATTAATTAAACTATCTTGTTTGCCGAGTTCCTAAAGTAAACATTGTCCGACCAGTAACCTTCCAAACAAATTCCACTGCTGGGGCCGTATTCTGGTCACCGTCTCTGGTCTCTCGTCTCTCACAAGCCAGTCACTGATTGGCTAATCATTTGGATTAGCCAATCAGTGACTGGCTTGTGAGAGACGAGAGACGGTGACCAGAATACTGCCCCTGCTTAACTCGACGTTACGAAAGCAGTAGGCACTTGCACTCATTGTTAAAACTGACATTTCACTTGCGTCATGGTTACCAAACGAACCAGTTCTTCAAAACTTTCCATCTCATTCACAGAGCCTTCAACGTATAATATGGGTTATCGAAACACTGCATTTAGGAACTTTTATACCATATTTGGTATAATTTGGCTCTACAATCCTGCATATTTGGCATAACATACATCTGATACCCTCTAAAGTTATAGCAAGAAAACAGTATCTTTACCTTTTTTGTTTCATATAACTAATATCACGTAAATATATATTCAACAAATTGTAACTTACTTACCAAGCATTTTCTTTAAGTGTAACATACACGTCGATAGCATAACAAACAGTCCACATGTAAGTAGAAGTATAAAAGTACATTATCCAAAACTAAAAGAATCGCAATTAAAAACAAATTATGTATTAAAAACAAATAGATGACAGTGGGAACATTTAAAAACTAAGAACGTTACTTACAGAAATTAGCGCACAAGCTAATCTATGATCGTTCATTCTCTGAGATTCGGTTCGATTTTCATAAAAGATGATCCACATTACAGATCTGACTATAATTCCTGTAAAACATTTACATACATTTTAACTACTCCATATAAGCAGGTTTATTTCACATAAAATTAAGGAATTTCTTACTTAATATAATACTAAAATATAAAAATAATTAACTCCTTACCAGAATTTTAAACAAAATTTAAGTATAAATCATTATGTTCAATTATTTCTTTATAGTAATTTCACAATTAATGACTTTTACTTACAGTTTAAGCGATGGAAAGGAGTGTCAGATTGACATTAAATGCAATCACAGCACTGTCAAAAAACAGCAGTAAGTATAAATTACCCAAGCTAAGACTCGGAATACCCATAAACAAATTAATAAATGAACTGGGGCACAGTTTTCTTCAATGGCCAACAAATTGACAGGATGAGTGAGGATTAAAAGCATTAGTCTATTATTTTAGAGAGCAAGATTTAAGGATTGGATACGAAGTTCGGAAATCTTTGTGAATGGTTAGGTTAGGTTAGGATTGTTAACTATGCCACCTATGACAAAAACAAGGAAACTGAATAGATCCATGAGTTTGGCTTATAGAAGCGATTGATCACAGGAAATAAACAGAGGAGGTAAACATGAGACCAAGAGGACCATCTTCATGTTAGATCAGAGACAAAAAACAATTGAATCTGAAGGTGACATAAGCAACACACAACGATACAAGTGTCGACCGCACATGCACTTCCCTAAACAAACGTTCTGAGACCATCCATTACGACGTTGATTAAAAAATTGAGCAGGTACAACAAGGAGTCAAAAAGACACTTAATCAAGAAGCACAGATTTTTACGACTTCTATACGACATGCAGAAAGGTAATTTTGTTTTTTTATAATATAATGGAATAGCTAATGTCAAAGATTATTTAAAAATCAATATTCTTATTATGTCCTAATTACAACAACAACAACAAATTAAGAATATTTTGAAAGAATAAATTGGCAAAAAAATCACTTCAATTTCTCAAACAAAAAATAATTATTAATATATGAAATAGTATAAAAATCTCTAAAAATATTACAGCCTCGTACAGAAGCAAAAAAGGTTTATTAATTAAACAAAAGAACTAACATTTTCGGTCATATTTAATGACCTTTGTCGGGTTGACGTTCCCAAATTCAAGCATTTACGAATAGTAATGGAAACAGATCAAAAATATAACTGAAAACATTACTTTTTTTCAGTTTAATAAATCTATTTTTAAACTTTACACTACTTGATTACTGGAATCCTTTAACTGACCCTTTCAAAACCTTTGTGTTTCTAGTAAGATACAATGTTTACTTGTACTTTACTGGATGTGTACTTGTAAATCTATTTTTGGTGCTACACAAGTCTAGATAATTTAGAGATTTACTGAAGCATTACTTTATGCATCGTTTAGCAATTGAAAATTATAGAAGGAATTCTATCAAACTTGGCTACGCAAGACTAGCTATAGCACACATAGAAGAAACTAAGCTAATTAAATGTCACCTAATAAAATTATAATTAATTTAATAATAATACTGAAGTCTGTATGGCCTTAAAAACCTAACTATGCTACTGAAGTGATAACACAAAGACCTTTTTGCAACTTATTACAGATTTTGCTAGTGCACAAAGCTGTAGAAAATGGAAAAGGAGAGACTCAATATAAATGGAAGAGAATTTTACAAATCTAATAGATTTAAACCCGGATCTGTCATGCCCGTATTCATAAACACGAATCGCGCATTAGTTAGAAGTTAACCAATAAGAATTTACATGTTAAAAGTAAAATGAATAGCAATTGATTAACACATTCAATTTCAGCCACAGTCTTCACCAAGACAAACCATACTACCATTTAATAAAATGCCTTTTAACTTATCATAAGTATAGCTACTTTTAAGCATTTCATATATATCAAATTTATATGAAATGAAGACAATCTGCCAAATTATCAGGCTATAATAAGGCTAAGTTAATAATTAGATACTAAGTAATTTGTGAATATTATAGCCCAATAATTCAGCAGACGATCTGGCTTTAATCAAACAATTGCATTTGTAGAATTGTTTATATACATGAAATGCATTTAGCATATGAAATGTATATGAAAAATGCACGTATACGAAGCATCTATATGAAAAATGCATATAAGTTACGTACCGATACTTCATACGTGCATTTAATGGTACTTTTCAGTTAACGGAATGCCAGCCAATATATACAACAACAGGTAAGATTCAAGCTGCAAATGAGGGGTTTCACACCACTCTCAAAATTGTTGATCCTTGGCAAAATATTCATCTCCAAAGATCAGTTTTTACACATATCAGTCTATACTTCACACATAGACATTCTTCTCATTGTTCACTATCACTCACACTTCAGCACCCAGGTGAGGCAAGCTCCCACACTCCCCTAAAACTATATAACATCAAGTACTCCACGAATAGTCAAGCGGGCTACTCGAGGCCGACACGGTCGCACGAGCCAAACTATTAAAAGTGACAGTCTTTTGCAGTAGTCTTCTGGCATCCCGTTAACTGAAAAAAATCCATTTAACTAGTAAAAAAAAAAAAGAAGCAATTCAATCATTAAGCAGTACACAATCATCAGATTTTTGTATCAGAGTCATACACAGCTTTGATCTGACTCAAGGTCAAAACAATTTTTTCCTGTCGAACGTCACCGAACGGACAGTTTACATACCACAACTTACACCCGGAGCGCCTGTCGTTTATTAACAATTTCATCATTCGGTTAGATAGAATACATACATATGCATTTATTTCTAGCCAAATAAAGTCACGTTTCTTACCAAGACAGGCAAATAAATCTGCTATGGCTAAGAGTTTAATGATTTTTCTTTGTCTTTCACCAGACAGGGCCGACCTCCTTTGTACCGTCTCGTGTATGGGAACGATCTGGTAAATGGCACCAAACACCCCTAAACTGGCAGAAATAAGAGAAACGATGCTAAATGGCTTGTATCTAAAGTTCAGTAGCTCGTCGACACTC